TGGAAGGCAGCTAAGAGGGTGATGCGCTACTTGTGCAGTACGTTGGGCATGGGGCTCGTGCTTGGAGGACGAGGTCCAGTTGTCCTCACTGGTCACGCAGACGCTTCTTGGGTTGACGACTTGGCTACGCAGCGGTCGTCGCAGGGTTACACCTTCAGCCTTGGCTCCGGTTCTGTCTCTTGGCGGTCTACCCGCTCTTCTTCTGTTCTCAGCTCCAGCTGTGAGGCTGAGATCTACGCAGGGGCCATGGCTGCACAGGAGCTGCGTTGGCTCACCTACCTGCTGACCGACTTGGGCGAGGTGCCTCGTTCTCCTCCAATTCTGTACGTTGATAACAAGGCAATGCTTGCCTTGTGTCGCGAACAGAGATTGGAGCACAGAACGAAGCACACCGCTCTTCGCTACTTCCTTGCTCGAGAGCTGCAGCAGCGTGGTCAGCTTCGTCTTGCCTACGTGGCCTCTCAGGCCAACACTGCTGATGTGTTCACCAAGGCACTTTCGCCTCGTGACCATCAGCGCTTCTGTACTACACTTGGCCTTGTTCCTGTGACTTCTCACTTACCTACTTCTTGACCCTACCTGTACTGTGATCCATATTATATACCTGCATGCCTGCTCTTGTTAGGTATTGATCACTGTACTGTTGCTTTTGCATTTATATCTCTGCATGCGGACTGGCCTTGTGGCCCTTTGCTTGTGCTCAGATTGTGTGGTGACGTTGTGATCCAACCTGAGCTTGTTTGTCCTTCTTGACTGTCCTTGTGACCCCTTGTTCTCCCCCACTTTGCCTATGGGGGTGTGTCAAACATATATATGGCTTAGGTTACAATCTAGGCTATAGTGGGGTTGACAATAAGGGGTACATCAGTTTAGGGTTTCCTATTTGTACCCAACTCATTCTCTAGTCATTCATTCCTAGCCTATCTTCTTAACACTTGGATGTAGTCAAGTGTCCATGCAGGCAGCTTAATTAGCCCCTCGTGCTTGTTGATGCTGCACGATCCCGTTGTACAGTCGTTGACGGGGTTGTGCCGTCGCAGCCAATCACGTCCCAGCAGCACGTCGCAGCCGTCCAGCGTCGTCGCGAGGAACTTCATGCTGAAGCCGAAATCTTCGCCGCATTCGATCCTGACCGTCCGTGTTTCTTCCGTTATCGCCAGAGGCGTCCCATCCACGAGGCGGGCGTCAATTTCGGGCAGACACCTGTCAAGTTGCAGCTTGCATTTTCTCGCCAAATTGAAGAGGCTATGGCTGGCCCCCCCATCAACGAACATTTTCAAGTTATTTTTTTAACACCTTGCCAGCGACCAGCACAGAATGATCCATGTGTGTATCCCCGTTATTCGGCCGAGTGCGATCGATTGCATGAATCGGAACCACGACTCGGTGGGGATGGTGGGGTTCGGGCGACGGAGCAGAGCCAGTAAAGGGCCCGCTAATTACTGACTCTTCCCATTTCCCTACTCCTTCGTGTCGTTCCCCGTCAGCGGCGTTTTCTCGTGGCAGTCTTTCATGTAGTGACTCGTCTTCCCATACTGGTAACACGGTCCCTTAGGAGGGCGGTTGGGTGTATGGACGGCGTTGATCGTGGCCCGATGAGTCTGGCTACGAAAGCGGTTTCCATCCCTGGAAGCTGCTCACGCGTACTGCATCAGCGCATCTGTTGACTCCGCCAGCCGTACTGCTTCAAGAAATGATGTCGGGCGGCCCCTGCGAACCTCTCACTGTATCTCATATTTGAGGCCGCTGATATATTTATCCAACCGCTCTGCTTCCGACATGTCATCAACTTGGTCGGCGAGGCCCATAATTGACGCCGTGTAGTCTTGGACAGAAGCCATCTGCGACCATGCACGCAGCTTCATGCGAGCTTGCTCCGAGGCGGATACGTGCTCGAAGCGATCTCGTAAGGCTGCGCCCCACTCCTTCCACGTGCGTATCTTGGTCACTCCGAAGATCGATTCTACCACTTGATTAGTCACTGTTGAGGTCCCGTCTGCCGCATGCGTCACACCTGTCGGCGTCGCCGTTTCCAACGTTCGGCGCCACCACTCAAGCGCTGCACCTCGAAGAAGCGAAACCGCGTAATTAATACGCGTGGCGTCGTCATTAACTCCTGCTGCAGTGAAGAAGACCTCAACCCCGAACAGCCACCCCTTTACTGTAACTGTCTTGTCCGTAGGATTAAATGGGGGCGGATTGACGGGCTTGATCTTGATCGTCGTTACTGCAACTGGTGCTGCTGCCGCTCGCTGCCTTTCCTCCTCTTCGAAGTCACGTGTGAGCGCGTCCAAGGGATTGCTCACCACTTGGCTGTTGCCCTCGCCTTCGTCCTCGGGCGACACCTGACGCGCTTCACCTCGCGTCTGGCGCAGCTCGGCGTTTTCTTTACGCAGTGTCGTCACTTCCGCCATTAACGACTTCATGCTCTCCTGCATTTCTGCCACTTGCGCCATCATCCTGTTAACCGCCTCCTGATCCATGTGCCTAGCGATACGTCTGGTGGGCAATCGGGTATCCGTGGCCTTCAGGCAAGTGAAAACACGAACCATCGGAGTCGGGCAAGATTGAATTAACAATCCCTGCAGCCACCGTCGTATAGTCACTAAACCAGCCACACCCTATGCCACCAAACTACCCTCGGAAAAGCGGGGTGAACTAGGAAAGTAGCTCTAATACCAGGTGTTAAAAGAGAGTGCGCAGGTAAACGAATAACGAGATTGTGATTAACTGATCTGAGAATACAATGAAGCACAGACTAATGTAGGGACTAGCCTAGCTAGGAGGGAACCTCGGACGAGCGAGGTTGGGTGCAGGTTTGGCGATGGGAAAATGCCGAAGGCGACGCGAGGAGCCTCGGCATCGTTGAAATCGGCCGAACGTGCAAAGTCTGAAAATCGGGCTGTACGCGAAGCAGTCAACCCCGATAAGGAATTCAGGAAAATTCCTTACAATGTCTGCATGTAAATGTAGTGCATCTTACAAAAGCAAAATCACATGTTGTGCTTTGCATCTCCGACCTGAGCTCCCTCCCACGCTACAAGCTTGCTGTGGTGAAAGGGGGGTAATAAGATGAATTTGAATATGCACATTTTCAATTACTTCTGTTCATACTTGCTCAATATATCCATATTATTTTTTCTGATATGCCTTCAACTTTATAGATACAAGAGCGGTGGGTAATGTCTGTAAGAATAAATTCATACACAATATCAATGACATCAAGATCAACATAGAAAATGACCCATGCGTTTGCTTTGTTCTTTTGCCTGAGGTGTGCTCCCTTTTAACTCCATGAGCTAGGAATCAACATCAGGGGTGTAACGTAACGGTCGGTGTCGACGGAGACGAATTTGTTTCGTAACGACTTGCGTGGACCTTGTGGTCGAGGAAGGGAAGCTGGGTGTCTTCGAGTCGCTCAAACGCAGCACTGGGCGCGAAGTCTAGGATCTCGCGTGTAACACAACACAGCTGAGCGTGTAACATGGCTTGTTCGCCTGTCAGTTGTCGTGACCACTTTGGGGTGGCGGCAGAATGAGGCACCAACACCCAAATCCCAAACCAAAATCCCGAAGCAGAAGGCATTCAACCTGGCGTCGCCATGACGTGTCAAACCAGGCAAGCGCCTCCGGAAGTCGCGCTCAGGGCTTCCAGGCACCCGCCCAAACCGAAACGACGTCTGCTCGAACATTTCCTTTCAAATAATCAGGGCAGGTATGGGTGTTTGATCGCTGCTCCGAGTCAAACGACCTTCTTTTAGGTCCATTACTTACCGAGGTCCATATTGGTTGCACAAGCACAAGCAGTGACCCCTCCATACAAAGGATTTCAAAGGAATGGGGGTAATAGGGATTTCTACAACACATTTCGCCGGGCGAGATTCTCAACAAACGTCCGTTGCTGTCTACCGCCGTCCGTCGGGATGTGCGAGAGAGCCCAAAGCTACGACATCCAAACCGCTCTAACCTGACCTTTCCCGAGCAAGGCGCGAACCAGCGTACTTTGTGGTGTCCGTACCAGATATTCCAGCCGAACCAGACTCCGAAGCGGGCCAGATCACACACCATACCTCTTGCTCAACCCCATGCAGCACGCAACACCATCGAACCAAAGCACCTTTGCTCGTCAAGCAAACAGCTGTTTGCATTCTCTTGTTTCGTGAGCTTTGCTTGTTCAAGTCTGCCTGGCCTAGAGCTTTTGAAGAGCGATTCTTCTCCCAGCTGCCGTGTTTATATTCTTTCCCACACGCACAGGACAGTTTATTAGTCAGCGCGGCATGAACAAGCACACAGGCCGAAGTAGAACATCAGCTGGAGCGGCTGATTTATCCCTCACTTTCGCCCGCCGAGACGCACCCGCGAGTCTCGCTGCACACGTCATCGCCACCGTCGATTCTGCAGCGCCCTCGCCGCCGTCCGATTCCTTAGACAGGCGTTTGTGCACTTCCGCTTCTCGCGTCCGTTCCACGCACGCAGCCACGCTGGATTCGCACGGTCGTGCAAGAAATTTGGATTACTTTGCAAGCTCGCCGGGTTTGCCGGCGTGGGTTGCGGAGGAGCGTCCAGCTTTCGGTGGAGGTGGCAGCTATGGGCGGCACGGGCTTGTGAGAGAGGCGGCAGGGGGAGGGCGTATCTTGGGCGGGTCGATCGACGCAGTAATCTACGATGGCTTCAAGCCCTACTTCGAATCCGCTCCACGATGTATGTGCGTGCAGTGCCACGAAAGCAATCACAATACCACGTCGATGCTCGCAGTGCCACGTCAGTGTTCACTGTGCCAAGCCAGCGTTTCACGAGACTCGTAGGGCTACACGGTCGCGAGCGGCGCGGTTGTCGCTAAACTGGGGGCCGACCGTTACCCGTGTGTGGTAGCGGCCCAAGACGCGTTGCACGCGTGCAGCGGGCTTGCTATGATGTGCATCGCGCTGCTCAACCCCAGCTTGTCGCATCTGTCCGTCACCGTGTCGGTCGGGAGTCGTGACCGTAGTGACGCGTCCGTGAATGCAGCAACGTGATAATATTGTGCCGTTTCAAAGCTACAGCCGACAGCTGCCCACAACTGCCCTGTAGCTGTGGCTGCAGGCGGCTATTCTATCCAGCAGTCAGCTCGTCGGTTCGAGGCATGGCTAGCGAGCTGAGAGGCGGTGTGGTGGATAGTTCTACTATGAGCGTGCTGCACGGAAGTGCATCCACGGACAAGGGAATGACGTTGACTGGGCGCGTCCTCTCGTTCTTGGATCTTCCAGCGTGCTGCCTGTCTTCTCCCAACCCCGCGCATTTTCCCCTTTCTCACCCCATCCGCTCACCCCCACTTTTCCCCGTCCGCCCCCCTCCCCCATTTCTTCGACTCCCCCCTGCCATTCCGCCTTAACCCCCAACGCAGGGCGGCAGGCCCCTTCCCCCGTCCCCCTGCGCGTTCTTTCCGCCTCCCTCCCCTCGGGGCGCTGCGCCCTCTCCATCCTCCGCCACCCCTCCCCCGGACCCCTCCCCCCCACGGAGTCCGCGGCCCAGCGCAGCGCCCTGCAGCAGCGCATGGCGTGCGTGCAGAGGAGAAGACGGCTAGCCGGCAGGATGCAGGAGGCTCTGCCGTTCCACCGTCAGTTCTGCCTGAAACCGTTTGAGCTGCCACGGGGAGTGCCGACGCTGCCTCTGGAGATGTGCCGTGGGGATCACATTATCACGATCGTCACCACTGCTTCCCTGCCATGGCTCACTGGTGGGTGAGAAGGGGTTCCTCTCTCCCCTCTCTCCCCTCTCTCCCCTCTCTCCCCTCTCTCCCTTCTCTCCCCTCTCTTTTGAGCCGGCTAGAAATTTGGCTCTCTGCCTGCAATTTTGAGGCGCATTGTCACCATTGCCACTTTGCCGTGGTTCACTGGTGGGGATAGTTTTCCCCCTTTCTCCCGCTGTTTGTGTCACTTTTGAGAATTCTCAGCAGTCGGGATACTCTCTTCCCCTTCTCTCTGCACTCGTTGCGTTTGTTGCGTTTCCTCTGCACTCTCTATGTCACTGCTGCACTGCTGCATTTCCGCTGTCCTCCTTAATGCCTAGCTTCAAAGCCTTTCTTCCTTCTCCTCTCATCCGCCCTCATCCCTCCCTCTTCCCTCCCTCCCTCCCCTCCTCCCTCTTCTCTTCCTCCCTCCCCCTGCTCCTCTCCTCCCCTCTCCCCTCCTCCCCACCCCCCAGGCACCAGCATCAACCCATTGATGCGAGCGGCGTATCTGAGCCGTCTATATGCCATGCGCGTGCTGCTCCTCGTGCCCTGGATCCCCCCGGCGGACCAGCGGGTCGTGCACCCCGCGCACGTGTTTGACACGCGCCAGCAGCAGGAGGGATTTGTGCGGGAGTGGATTGAGAAGCGCCTGGGGTTCGCGTCGGTGTTCCGGATTGCATTCTATGACGCGTGGTATGATCCGCGCAAAGGCAGCATCTTCCCTCTCGACAGTAAGCACTCCCTTTTTCCCCTTCTTTAACGTTGGGTGGGGAGGGGGGGGGGGGAAGGGAAGGTGGGAGTAGTAGGGACAGCTTCACGTGCGGTTTCACTTGTAGTGGTCTGAAGCCGAACCAGTTTTAGTGTTTCATTGGTGTTGGGTACAACAAGAGGCGTGATTAGAAACCCCAAGCACGGGTGCCAATCCAACCCCTGCCACTCCTTCGTGTGTGCCTGTGCGCGTGCGTGCATCTGCATGTGTGCATGTGTGAATGTGCCTCTGTGCATGCTCCTGTGTCCGTGTGTGCCTGTGAGCAACATCAGGGTCGGATGTGACGGAGTGTGTACCGGACGAGGAGCTGGACGTGGCAGTGCTGGAGGAGCCCGAGCACCTCTGCTGGTACGCCCTTCCCTTCCCAGACCCTGCCCTGTTGCTGTTGGTGCTAGCCTCTTGTCACTGTTGGTGTTCCCAAACCCTCTGAAGGAGTCACTACCCAGCACCATGGAGCTGGACGTGGCAGTGGTGGAGGGGCCCGAGCACCTCTGCTGGTACGCCCTTCCCCTGTTGTTGTTGTAGCTGTAGCAGCTAGGCTAGGCATCCACGCACCCTGTGTGCTTGCATGTGCATGTGTGAGCAACATCAGGTTCAGAGCAGGCGAGGAGCTGGACGTGGCAGTGTTGGGAGGCACCCGAGCACCTCTGTTGGTATGCGCGCTATTTCCGTTCCGCCTCTTGTGCTGTATGGCGTATCAATATTCTCCCTGTTGGTATGGCGAGCCTCCTTCGTTTCCCCCAACCACCTTCCGTTCTTCCTCTCCTTGCCCTATGCACTCTTCCCTGTCCCTCGGCATAGCGCAGACCAACTACACTGAAAGTGCATCAAGTGCGACCTGCTCTACCGGGGGCTCCTTTCTCCATACACTCAGCGGTGTTTTTCCCTATGCACTGCCCCCTCTCGCCACCCATCCCAACCCCCAGGTACCACATGGTGGGCCCGAAATTGCGCACGCGCTTCCCCCTGTCCCTGGGCATAGCCCACACCAACTATACCGAGTACATCAAGCGCGACCTGCTCTACGGGGGGGGGCCCTTCCGTCCCCTCCAACCCATCCTCCATTCTTCCCCTCCTTGCCCTATGCACTCTCCCTTCCGCCTCCGCCTCCCACCCCCCCCTTCCCGCTCCGCCTTCCCCCTCGTCTCCCCCTCCCCTCCCCCTCCCTCCCCCCAGGTACCACATGGTGGGTCCCAAGTGGCGCACGCGCTTCCCCCTGTCCCTGGGCATAGCCCACACCAACTATACCGAGTACATCAAGCGCGACCTGCTCTATGGGGGACCCCGCACGGCGGCCTTCCTGCTGGTGTATTCGTGGCTCGTGGCACGCGCTAATTGTCATCGCGTTATCCGGCTGTCGGGGGCAGTTCAGCCGTTCAGTGATTCGATCGTGTGCAACGTGCATGGGGTGAGTGGGGAATTGGAGTAGGGAAGTGTGGGTTTAACGGGGAAGGGAAGAGCGGGGGGTGACCGGGAAAGGGACGACCGGGGGGACAGCGCAGTTGAAGTAAGGTGGTGACTGCGCAGTTCAGCTGTTCAGCGACTCGGTCGCGTGCAACGTGCATGGGGTGCATGGGGGGGAGAGGGGGGTTGGGCTGAGAGTGAAAGGGGAGTGCGTGCGTTGAGAGGGTACGGGGAGAGTGAGCGTTGAGAGGGTACGGGGAGAGTGAGCGTTGAGAGGGTACGGGGAGAGTGAGCGTTGAGAGGGTACGGGGAGAG